TGAAGCGGTGTCTGCTTTCGCTTTTGCTTCACCTTCTTTATCGTCCATTACAATCACAATCTTTTTCTCCTAACCCAAAGTGACAAAGGACGATACATGAAATTTGCAGTGGCCTCATTAGTCCTTCCTGGTGCCTCCCAAGTAATAAAATAATAAAGAGTAAAGGGTATGTTCCCACCCAAAGATTAGCGAAATGACGAAATGACAAGTTTTCACCTATGGTTTGATTTATTCCAAATTTTTACTATTAAATTAACGAAAATCATTTAATATAACGGTTAAAAGGTATTTGGGTCTTTTTATCTAAAAATAATAAACCCTACCCTCTCAAAATTTCTGCAAACCCAACCCTTCCTCTCCACCTCCACCACCACCACCAACACTAATAACTTCAATCTACCACACGAATACACCTCAAAATCCCAACAAACTGCATTCAATCAACTTCTTTGATCAAATCTCAATTGGAAAAACAAATCCTGTCGCACAAAGGCGCGCAAGATGTGTTCAGCGGCAGACGGTTCCATACTATACTCTAACAGAGCAGAGTTTTATACTTATTAATATAGAAAGAGGGTTTTGATGAAAGACTTCATGTGCTTAAGTTGTTGCTACCGTTGGAGCATTTCACTTCAAAGAAAGACAACGGTTTTAAAGTCAAGTGGTTGGAGCTTCAAGTGGTGATTTGTTGAATTTTGGGAGATTAGATTGTTGAAAAAACAACCATTATCCACTCACCCACCGGCGCACACCATTTGTCTGTAAAAAAGCCACAATGGTGGTTGGGTGGCGGTAGTAGCAGTGGAGATGAGTGAGGAGTGGGAGATGAAGAAGAAGGGAGGGTAGTTTGGTAATTGTACCCCTACATATATGGAGTTGACTGATTATGTTACTTTAAGGGTGGGGATTTGGAATAAATGAAACTACGGTGAAAGCTTGTCTTTTCACCAATCTTTGGGTGGGAACATGTTGTTTACTCAATAATAAATTGTTATATTATCAAGTCAATGAGAACCTTATTTCTAATTATTAACATAAGAAATAGTTGAATCTAAATTTCAACTGTTTAAAATTAAATTCTAGATAACCAAATTGACCAAAATAACCAAAATATAAATTGGGGGTTTGTAAAGTCAAAGAATCTAATTAATTACTATAACAAAATTATGAATGAAAATCAATATAAAAACAAATTTAGTTCTCGATTCAATTTCATGCTCACAATCAATGTATATTCTCAATTGCAACGCAATCCTATCATTTCATGGGAATATCAACCCTAGGCAGTAACAAGCTCTACTACCAAAAATTCTCCTTAATTCTGACTAATGAAACATGCTCTTTAACAGTCTCTAACCATTAGACAACCATAACAAGCTCTCGAGATTTAATGTAATGGTTGCTTTAATTCCAATGAAATAGGTTAATTTAAGCAACAATCTCACAAGCTCAGATTATTAAACTTAGGTTTTGTTATTCAAGTAATAAAATAGAAAGTTTATCTACAATGTTCTATTACTAATTGCTCTCACATGATTAGGAAAAGATCGATTACGTAATACAATCCCTAATTCTAGTAATCGATATCAATTCAATCAATCTACCAGGCTTGAAGTAAATTAAACGAATCAAATATCATATTCCATTAAAACGGAATAACATAAATCAAATCCATAGAAAGGGAAGAGATTACATTACTTTATCAATTATACTATCGATATGTGTTAGTAATTGAAATCGTTTTGAACTGAATTGAAAGAATTTAGCCAAACATCATAAATTGAGAACAACAAGTGTTTTTGAATAAATCCCCCTGTATGTGTTTTTTTTCCTTAAAAATCTAATGTTCTATTTATAGCCCCTTCAAATAACCCTAAAAAATGTGTGTAAAGCCTCCCAAACAGTTTACAACTCAAATTCCTAAATTGTAGGCTTTGAGTCCTACTCTTTCTAAAACAAGTTGATTAATTTTTGGCTGGAACTTGTGAGCTGATTTCTTGTCAGAAAACAACTGAATTTGGGCCTGGGATCTTCATGAAAGTTGTAGCCCGGGTTATAAGCTTTCCAAAGCATCTTCAATCATCTCACTTGGACTCTTAGAACTCAAGTTATATCCAAATTATTGACCTGTGCCCAAGTTGTGACGGGATTGGATCTTTCGACTTTGATGTAAACTTTGAATATCCAAATCTACTAGGATAAAAATGCGTAAGCCCAATCTAAAAAGCTCAAGCCGTCTGCTTCATACGTCAAGAAGACTTCTCTTCAAAAGCCTTCCAATTAAACTGGAATTTTCAGGAGTTTATATATAATTAATTCGGATCCAAGGGGTATTGGTTATTTGGTGATAATAATTAATAAGCGATTAGGGTTTGTGTAACCACCTCTCCCAAATCAAATTTCAATCAATCATGACCACCAAAAGACTCATCGGCCTCCTTTCTTCAAAAGCCCAAAAATAATGAATCTAATTTGCTCTCTATTTGCCGTTGAACCGGAA